ACGATGACCAGCATTTTCAACAATTTTTCCAGTAAACCCTAAGAGTCGCATACTTTGTTATTATCCATAAACCTACGGCATATGGTTCGTATGGCATCGTATAGTATCGTTTGTTTATGCACTACATTGTACAGGTATTATTTTATTTGATATATTTGAGTAATTACTCGAATAAACGATTATCTCGATAATGCCCAGTCCTGGTGGAACCAAAGGTGTCTTGGCCCCAGGTTTATTGGATATTCAGCGGACGTTGCGTATCACCTGCTGGCCGGGCCCGATGACTGCTCGAATTCTAATTTACCGGGCAACGAATATTCGTTGGCTGTGCAGGGCCCGGCCGGATTGCGGAACTAGCAGCGAGCAACACGAAGTAGCAACCGAAGCAACGCGAGGAAAGGTGAAGCGAGGCGAGACGAGGCGAGGCGATTCCCCGATCGGGCCACCGGGCCCCACCGTATCGTTAATTCCAGGTTGTAAGCGCATAATGTATGCGGCCATTAACCGTAATGAACACGGCCGTGCTTTCTTCCGAAGAACCATATTCCGGAGAATTTGCCGGGAATTTACGACGCACGACACGCTAAGAAGGCATGAATTACGTCAGTGCAGCGTTAAAACCGTCTACGATCGACGTCGCCTTCTCGCTAGGCCGGCTGCTAGTTCGTGTAGCTGGACGGATAACACGGACGAAAGATCGGCCGGATTTTCGGATGATCGTGGAAAGCATAGAGCAAAAGACGGTACACGGTGACTGGGACGCTGCTGTGTGCCTCTTCGATCGAAATATTCATGAGGGCCTGGAGAAATTTGTGGTCGAAAATTGTCGGCGATTCTCGTCGGTGTCCGACAAATCGCCGGCTATTTTCTTAATATTATAATCGTGCTGTTTGATCGGCGCGGAATAATTTTTCAGTTTGTCATCGCAGTGGCCTCGTCATGGGAACGGGAATTACGCTTCGAGATTACGAAATCGACAGGGGGCGCGTAATCCCCGTTAGATTCGTCCACGTAAAACAAACACACCCACCATTCTCGTCGAGTTTGCCATAGTATTCTCACAGGCTACGGGAATTATACATCCCCCTAACGCCGTTTAACTTTGTCCGCCGAAACCTTACACCCTCGTTTCTGTCGTTCCGCGTGCGTTCCATATTCTTCGATCGGATTAGAACGCGCCGTGACTTCTCGTTGGAGAACGCGGAATTCGGTGGAACGCGAACGAACGAGAAGGAGGGTAACGCGGCTCGTCGACGCCTCGTTCACAGTCCAGTTGGCAGGAACGCGATTAATCGACTATCCAGCAGCGCGAACAGAGGGCCATCCTCCATCAACCAGTTGCGGTTCCTTTTTGTCCGACGACATGGGAAACGAGCATCTCTGCGCGCGTCTGCTCTCGCTCCATTAACCAGATAATGAACCGATCGCGAGTTAGTCCATCATCTTCGTAGCCGTGGAAAGGGGACGCGAGCATCGTCCGACGTGGCGCTCAGACCACAGCAGTTTAGAAAGTACGCGCGTTGATATTTTCGTTCGGTGAAATCCGAATAATATCGCGGAGGAGGCGGAGGAAACGCGCCGCTGGGAATGAGATCGCGGCGATAAATCGCTGTAGTCTCGAACCAGCCTCGCGCAATAACGATAACAAGCTAATGGCCTAATAAATAAGTAACCGGAGTCGCAACCCTTTCCGAGTTTAAAATTTTAGAGGGGAAGGGTTGGTCGGTCGATCGTCGCGTGTGAAACGTTTCAAGTATATCGATTCGAGACACCGACAATATGGTCCAGAGAGGGGTGGACGCCGGGCAAACAGGGGGGCGGTCAAATTTGTAACACCCTTCCCAGCCAATCGAGAAATAGTTCTCGCTCGAATTTTTATTTATGTATTTATTTAGTAATTTACGAGCGATACAGTGTATTTGTCGATCTCAGCCGGTAGGCCATGGATTAACACTAGAACTACACGAAGCTATTTTTACCAAAATGACTGGTCTTTAAAAGATACCTAATAATAGAATATTTGTATATTTATTGATTTATTACCTTTTCACAGAAGAAATTCCACGTTACGTAGTACATTTTTCGTATTATCGATCCATGTGGGATCCCTAAACGAGGGTTGACACGTTTATAAAATTGTAGAACCAGTCGTTTTGATTGCTGTGGTGTTTCTAGTGTTAGCATCTAGCGATCCAGCGATCAATGCGGAATTTTCCTGATAACTGATATCGTCGTATCGAAGGATATGTGGTAAAAATTTGGAAAACGCGTGGCAAGTTGTACGAAACGAAGAAACTGGTTCGATAAACAGATTGCAGGACCCTTTAAAAATTTTGACTGCTATTGGTACAAGTAGCCTCGATACGAAATTATTTTCAGTATGAATACATAAAAAACAACACAAAATTCATTATATTATCCTTTTAGTTATCCTTGCGAAAGTCATTACATCGTTGTAATTGGAAAAAATATATGTTGTAGGAATTTAAAAATAAAATTGCAAAACCAGTCGATTTGACTTAGCGTTAAAACGCACATATTCGTTCATATGGCAATGTTCTTCTAACATAAAACTCTGGGTCGAACCTTTAGCCTCAGTTTCACTGTCCCAACGCTTGTCTCGTAATCTCGCAATTATTTGTATCTTGATGCTAACTATTACGTATAATCGCTAGTGTTTTTTTAATTCCTTCAAATTGCTCGTTGATATACGTGCAATACACCTATGGGTTATCGTCTAGCGAATATCCAGTATCCTTTGATTAATTTACTGGCAACATAGCTGCGACATAGCCGACATATTACGCAAAGGTGAAGAGGAATTACAATGTAAAATACACAAGCAAAAAGAGTAGAAAGAAACTGATCGGCAACAACTTGTTAATGAGAGTTAAATAACTGGGAAGCTTGTAGTCCGAACTTACAGAAGGAAGCAGAGAAGCTTCTACTTCGGTCGGAAATACCGTTTACTTACGTAATCGCATGTTCCTGTCACGGACACGCTAAATCTATCGTAATATCATTTATAAAGAAGCGAACACGGAAGACCGGAGTATTACGTAAGGAACGAACCATTGAAATTAACAAGCCAAGTGAAGTAGCGGAAAACAGTGAACAAGGTTATCGATCACTTTGAATATAAAAATAATATCACCAAGGTTTCCCGTCTCCCTCGATATTAGCATATTATCATTTTGCTAAATACGAGGTCCTCTGTGTCCTGCGAATCGAGCAATTTCCTCCGCGTTTTTCCAATAAGTCGAACGTACTTTGTTCGATAAGAAGACCGCGCGATATAGCAGCGTATTGTACCTTCAGCTACGACCACGGAATTGTAAACAGCTTTTCAAGCGAACAGATTTCTCAGATTCCTACAGAATCGAAAGGTAAATGCAACGGATCTGTTTGCCACGTTCGCCGTGTTAATATGCGATATACTTGGACAGCCTGGAATCTGCAACGAGATTCCGCGACGCTGGAACCGCCGCAGTACGGAAGAGAAGCGTGAAGCTGGAAATCAGCAAGTCAACGCCGCCGTTGCTCGCAGAGACGATTCCGCTCGTCGTTTTTCCCCGTCCTTGGCGCAGGCATTCATCGACGACTGAAAGGAAGCAGGACGCCGCTTGTCCTAGAGCAAAAAACGATGGCCGATACAAGACGGATCCGCTTCGCTTCCGCGTGCATCGAAATGACAGGAGGCGTGCTCGCGGCACGGCACGCTTGTCCCGCCGCCCCTCTTTGCCATTTCAATGCTCCAATCGACGCTGACAGTGACAACTGTAACACCGCACACCCGATACCCATGAGAATCCCGTGGCTGAGCGAGTTTGTTCGCTGCCAATGGAAGAATGCCAGCCTATCGCGGAAAAACTGGCGACCGATCGACTAGTCGACGGATACGTCGGCGTTTCTTCGTGAAAAAGCGCTCTAACGTTGATGGAAAGTCGAGCGGTACGCAGGATCACCCGTAATTCGTACGAATGGGGTCAGGCGGATTCTATGGCTCGAAATGGGACGAAAAGCGGGAACTGCGTGGCAGGATGTGTCGGCGGGAAAGTCTAGTTTGGAGATTTGGCAGACGTATGCGAACTTGACCGATTCTCGGATGGATAGGAATGAATAATTAACAGGAGATCGTTGTACGCGCCAGAGTAAATTGAAAATGAAGAACGACGTTTGGTGGTTCGAGCCCTCGTTCCGGGGGATTCAGGAGAAATAGTAGTTGAACGCGTTAGCGAAGAATTAACTCGATACACGCTGGAAGATTGTTTATTTTTGACAAGGTATATTTTAATTACGAAGTTACGATTAAACGGCAATCATTTGGTTCTTCATGATACTTGGATTATATTCGACTAGAATCAAACATACTATAAACTCTTATAATCCAAGTTACAGTACCACGCCAAAATAATTTACTTATAATTCTCGATGAGAATTGACTGTACAGATAAAAAAAGAAATAACAGTTGGCGATTATACAGCACATTTCTATGTATTAGGTTGTCTAAGTGTTTCTTTCGTTTTATAAGAAAATAATAGACGCACAAGACGTTTTCTGTTTTATATTAGTTTATCGAATTATGCACGAACGTAATGATAGAAATAGAACGAAATGGATCGCACCTAATTCAATAAAATAATATAAAACAGAAATTGTTGTTCATCTATTATCACCTTATGAAACGAAAGAATAATATGTAGTTATTCATAGTAAGAGTAATAGTTATTGATAATTATAGTTATATTATTATATATAGTTATTAATATATAGTTATATTATTATTATTGCTTAGTCCGTGCCTTTCGGCCTTTCTCTTTTATCTATTTCGCTTCTTATATATCTACCTCCCCTCTTATCCACTCTATTATATTGCACTGCCTTAATTATTCTATCTCTAAAATTTAAAAACTAATAACTAAAAACTATTGCAACTTTTGGTTTTTTGGGTTTTTGTCTCCTTGCTGTGCTTCCTTCTCGTCGTTCCTCCTTTCGTCTTGTATCGCCTTTCTCTCCTCTGTTATTGCTTTTAGTTCTGTCAGTCCTTCTCCAGTCTCATTCAATGTTTTTCTATGTCCTTTGGTCCTCCCGTTATTTCGCATTCTTCTATTACATGTCTCGGGTCTTCTTCTTTCCTTTTACATAGCCCGCATCTGTTTTCTCCCTCTTCTTTCCAGTATTCCCTTGCTTCGGTCTCGTTTCCACATCTGAATCTTGCTAATATCTTCCTGTCCTTCCACTTCAGCCTCCCTTCTGGATACTTTGGTAACTCTTCTTTGGCAATTTTTCTGTAATGTATGTTATATTTAAATTTCCTTATCCTTTTCCCCTCTCTCCTGCTTCTCTCTTTCTTCTTTCTTCTATAATCTGGTCTGCCGCCATCCTTTCCTGCTCTTCTCTTGCTTCCATCTGCGTCCCTCCATTTCTCACCTCTTCTAGTACCCTCTTTCTCTTTCTTGCTCCTTTCCCTTCTTGGCCATTTCCCCAGTTTCCCTCTCTTTCCTTTATGCACTCCTTTACTAGTTCCTTTTTTGATTCCAAGGCTTTCCCTTCGTACCTTGCTGCTCTTCTGAATGCTTTTTCTTTGATTTCTGTTGGCTCGCGTTCTTCTATCAATACATAATTTGGTGTTGTCTTATCTAAACCTAAGATCCATTTCACATATCTTCTTTGTATTCTATGCAGTCTTTCTTCCACGTTCCAGTCCCATACCTCTGCTCCGAACAGCACCACGTTAATGTATAGTTATATAATAATATATATAATACATTATATAGTATATTATATAGTACATGTATATTATTATATAGCACTATACTACTACCATGGTAAAATAGTACTATATTATCGTTTGAATTGAGTTTCGAAAATCGATATATAACAATAAAAGCGACCCTTGCAATTGCCGCACCTTGCGAAACAACGTTCTTCCTTAACAAGCTCCTCATTTCCGGATTCTTTAACCAGGTAACTGCGAATTTTAGTTCCAGAAATTTCTCATGGGATTAGGTCGTGGAGTAAATAAATATAAGGGAAATACAAGCATACGCGTGAAACGCAGCTAATTGGTTAATGCTCGAATTGTAAAACAGATTGAGAAAAATATTCTGAACAGGTAGAAAGACGACGGATGTGGATACAACGAGCGATGCTTAAACAGCGAATGTGTATATTATTACATAATAGTAAATAATAAAATAAATTATTTAATTACATGAAGAAGTAGCAAGCGGTCAGGATGGTTACAAACAGAGGCAAATTTTGAGATTCGATTCTTTGGAGAATGAGGCCAGGGACGAAGGAAACTACGTTTTCAACTTCTTTTCACACGTAGAGTAACCTCCCATCGATCGTCCAAGCGGGAATTGACCACGTTTACGTACACTTTGCAAACCTTCGAACCGTATTTCCTGAAAACGGAAAATCTCCGACGCACCTATCGTTATCTCCGATTTTCGTTTTATTTCGAGCCACGGACTCGCCCTGGTCCCATTTGTACCGCGAATTACGAGCCACCCTGTAGTCGCTGGAAAACGGATAGAAAAAGCAAATTTCCCACTACGCCCACTTTAAAGCCCTTTCGGCGGAAGGGTTGCGTACGAAATTTCTACATCCATCATCTCCGTTGGCAACCCCTTCACGGCCAACCCCCGACCGGCACGCGCCATTATAATGCTCCGGCTGAACTCGCTCGAAATTTAACTGCCCTTTAAAACTTTAACTACGGTTTACGAGCTCGCTGGCGCACGTACGACGAGAGCCAGAGAACAGCATCGAGCACGGTGAGGCGCCGTCTGTTTTTACGAGCCTTCTATCTCGCGCCCTTTTGTTGCACCGGCGAATCGACCAGGCAAAATGGAAATTTCATGCAAGAGCTTCACGGCGGAGACGTTATCCCAGGCCTCTGGGATACGTTCGTAAAATTTCCCGTGGAACGGTAAAATCGCAATAAAAATTCCTGCCACCGCGCTATGAACGCCGCGAGATTTCCAAGGGTGAGAACACGGCGAGCAGGTTCGGCTGGCGGTGCAGAAGGTTGTTCGACTGAACGAAGCAAGCGAGACAAGCGCGACATCGCACAGAGACTAATCAGCTCGCGACACTATCATCGTCGCTATCACTCTGTGTCATTACGCACTTGTTTTACTCGCTTTGTTCTCTCAGTCAACCGAATAGTCCGTCACATCTGCTCGCTATGTTTTTGCCTTAAGAGAAGAGAGTCTTGGTAGGGCGGCAATCGCAGAGCGGCAAATTCAAAATCTCCTTGGGGAATTTAAAATCATAACGAGGCATCGTTCGATAAGTTCCAAGGTAAAAGTAGGACGAATATTTCACGAAAGAAATGTCTGAGTTGGTCCGAAGAAGAAGGCGGTCAAACGTAACGACGATTCTTCATGCTCGCTGCATTGCAGTTTGTCCCGTGACATTTTTATTTTTATTTATTTATTTATTCTTATTAATCAACGATTTGAGCAACGCGTAGCGTCTATGTAAATATTTCATTTTGTTCGTGAAATAACGTTTCAGTTTTCCCATCTCGCGCTTCCATTTCACAGTTACGATCATTTCAAGTCAAAGTGTTCCAATTCGCTTTTCGCAGTATCGCCGACTAGATCTGTATATTTTACAACTTTCCCATGACTGTACGTTCATCGACTGCCGACATTTATGCAAATTCCTGCTTTTACGAACAAGTATAATGTAAAAAATAGCGCTCGAGTGGAAGATCGTTTCACCTACTAAACCTTGTAAAAAGTAATTTCGGTGTTTTATACGTTTTTGCATATCACGAGCTTGCCCTTTCGCGTCTTGAAATGTCGCACGAACGCGTAAAAATCCGCAGTCGACTTATTGAAATTTGAGCCGAAGGGCTACGAATTTGCCGCTCTTTCGCCATTCTCCTTCTGCATCCGTGCGCGTGTTCGCGCGTATCGAGCGGATAGACGGAAATTCCGGTTAACGGTCGATGCAACGAGGTTCCGCGAGCGAGCGAACGAACGTTGGTAGCCGGCAGAAGGTTTCCCAGAGCGGAAAACCGGAGGAAAATTCAGTGCGACTGGTGGACTCGCAGGGAACTCGCTCGAGAGAACAAAACCGTGCTATTGTTTCCCTCTAACAAGCACGGACAGCTAGGTTCTGGCCTTCGTGCTCGAATCGAGCGATGGTATCGCGCGTGACCCCGCGTTCAAACGTAAACGGAGAGATTTCAAGTGGCCTGAAGGGTGGAGGCCAGAGGGGAAGAGGAAAAAAACGCGCAGGAGACAAGAAAAGAGAAAAGGCACGCCACGCGAGGATAGGAGAGGAGAGGAAAGGAGAGGTTGCCGTGCAAAAATTCCGCGCGTAGGACGAGCGGAAATCCTTATGGAAATGGCTGGCGACCGCGCTCTCGCTAACGGAAGTCGAGAGACGTGGAGGCTAGCGTATCCTGTTTGATAAAACGCTGCAAACCAGATAGAAGGGAGTCACTGCGCCGATGGTACACGAGATTATGGTAATCTTTGCCCGTTCCAAAGAGACCTCGTCTTTGGATTTCAACGGGCCGCCAGATATCATCTTTCACGGTAGAGATGGAGGGAAAAGGAAGAAGACGGCCAAAGAGAAGAGAAAGGGAGGGAAGAGAGTAAATTCGCGGAGAAGCTGGCGTTAAAATCGAATCGCTCGGATTTATGCGCGGACGACGCGATGCAGCCAATATTCCTGATAATATCCTTACGAGGCTTGTTCGCGAGGAAAGGTGAACAAAGTGTGGCAAAGGAAGAAAGAAGCAAGGTTTGATAAGTTGGAACCAGTTGCTGCACAAGTGCGTATATCACGCGGCATGGATGTTTTCGTTTATTATTCATGATGGGATGTTGGCAGCGGTTCTTCGCGAGCGGTGATTTAGCGAGGAAAACAGCGTCGTTTCCAACGGCGACGAGGCGGAGGAAAGCTTGTCCCGGCATTCTCATAGATCGAAAGCGGACCGCGGTGTTGCGTAATTGAATTAGGAATGAATCGAAAGCGAAATCGAAAGCGTTTGTGTGCAAATCACCGCGAGAGATCATGGCGAACCGATCGACGTCTCGCTTGCGAAATACGCCTGCTGCGAGAATGCGTTTCGAAAGGGGATGACGACGATGATGTCCTCTTCTCGCTTGGAAAATTCTCATCTTCCGATCGATCACGAGCAACGAAATATTCGCTCGTACCGGTGGGTTCTTAAGTACGTGGCGGATAATGCGAATAACTTCGATTGGGCTTCGATATCCTGAAACTCTTGAAACTCTGACGAGCCTTAAAAAGATGATGCTTATTTTGATATAACCGTTGAAAGCTGTCGAAATTAACCCTAGAACTATCACAGTCAAATTGACTGGTTTTACAATTTTATTTTCAAATTCCTACTTCGTGTTATATTTTTTTTCCAATTGCAATGATGTAATCGCTCTCGCAAGGATAACTAAAAGAATAATATAATGAATTTTATTTTGTTTTCCATGTATTCAACCTGAAAATAATTTCGTATCGAGGCTACTTAAACCAATACCAGTCAAAATGTAAAACGGTCCTGCAATCTGTTTATCGAACCAGTTTCTTCGTTTCGTACAACTTGCCACAAGTTTTTCAAATTTTTACTTCGTATCATTCCATATGACGATATCAGATATCAGGAAAATTCCGGATCGATCGCTGCATCGCTAGATGCTAACACTAGAAATACCACAACAGTCAAAACGACTGGTTCTACAATTTTATAAACGTGTCAACCCTCGTTTAGGGATCCCAAATGGACTAATGATACGAGAAACGTACTACGCAACGTGGAATTGCTTCTGTGAGAAAGTAATAAATCAATAAATATAAAAGTATTATTTGTTATTGCTTAGTCCATGCCTTTTGGCTTTGGACCAGCTTTCCGTTTTATATCTCGTTTACCTGTTTCGTTTCACTCTATTATATTGCACTCCCTTAATTATTCTGTTTCTAAAACTATGGCAATTTTTGGGCCTTTGCCTCCTTGCTGTGCTTCCTTATTGTCGTTCCTCCCCGTCTTGTATTGCCCTTCTCTTTTCTATTATTGTTTTTAGTTCTGCTGGTCCTTCGCCAGCCTCGTTTAGTACTTTTTCTGTGTCCTTTGGTCCTCCTGTTATTTCGCATTCTTCTATTACATGTCTCGGGTCTTCTTCTTTCCCTTTACATAGCCTGCATCGTTTTTCTCCCTCTTCTTCCCAGTATTCCCTTGCTTCGGTCTCGTTTCCACATCTGAATCTTGCTAATATCTTTCTGTCCTTCCACTTCATCCTGCCTTCTAAGTATACTTTGGTAACTCTTCTTTGGCGTATAAAAATATTCTATTATTACGTATTTTTTAAAGACCTGTCATTTTCACTGGTTTCGGTAGAAATAGCTTCGTGTTAACTATCGGAAGTTCTAGCGTTAATATATATATGTCGGGTTATCATTAGGATTTAAGGCGCGTAATGATTCTTCGTTTGAATTAGCCATTGTTTTACGAGACAGAGAATATATTTACGCGAATAAACAAGATTTTACAAAATATTATGAATAATGAGTTTAATAAATGATAAGATTAACAAACGATAAGTTTAACTAATAATTAGATTAAAGAATAATAAGTTTAACGAACAATAAGAGGAGCAAATAATATGTCTTACGAATAATAAATTTAACGAATAATGAGATTAACGATTGATAGGTTTTACGAATAATGAATTTAATTAACGCTATTAACAATGTTCCGGGGTTCAAACGAATCCACGATCAACGGGATAACTCTTTACTATGTGTAGAATAATTTTAAACACAAAAATACGATTGCTGAGACACTCGGTAAATTGCTC